CGTGACGGAGATGTCGGGCGTTGCGATATTGCCAGAGGACTTGCCGATCACGGCGATCGGTTTCGAGCTGGTCTCTTTGTCCCTTCGCAATTTACGCTGATGATACTGGGTGGAAAGCATGTTAATGGCGTGTAATTATGTACCGCGATTCGATCGAACGATTGCGGAGATAAGCAAAGAACGGAATAATCTATTCGCGGCGTTGATCTACAAGGGATTACACGGCTCATTATTCCGTTTGATCAATCAGTTAAGTACTCGACAGGATTATGTAACAAAAATTGAAGGATCCCGTTAAATAGCATTTTACATTATCGCTCAATAAAATAAGCGACGACAAACAATTTTAATTAATTATTTATCTCGCCTAATTAAGCGAGATAAGAAGCGTTTTCTTGTCCTGTTATTTGAAGGATGGGTTATATACGGGGTGAGAAAAAAGTATGGAAACCCCTATATTTTTCAAAAACTATGCATTTTAGAAACAAATGTTTCAGACAAAAGTTATATGGTTTCAAGGGGGACGTAAGATGGTATTATTGGTTTGACCTTGGATAATCGTTTGAAGTTGCATGAAGGTAATCTTGAATTTTTTAAATGAAAACCTGCATTTTTCATTATATCATCTTTTCTATTAATTAAGTGGAGCAACTTTTGTCTGAAACATTTTTTCTATCAGTCTAATATTTTTTTAGATACTCAAAGAAAACTTGGCAACTTTTTCAATAATCATCATACGATATCCCGATAACTGTTTATCGTGAGAAAAAATGATACAGGACTTTTTGACTTGACTCGGTGTCAAGAATACTCTGTATCGAGCAAAGACTAGCCGAGAAAAGATAATAAATGCTGAAAATAGTAAGCCACTGCTATCAATTTGAAGAAAGCAGTTTTTCCAGGCGTTATTTCATTTTTATGTAATTTTGCTCGTCTGAAAAAGTTACATGTATGCCGTTGCAGTCTTCTTATATTTGTATATCCGTAAAAGTGAACCCGCTTTACCATTTCATCGCGACTTAGATACGTCCCGTGGAAATGGCATTTGCGCTTAGATCGCATCCTTCATCGGCCTCGCTCCAGCCGGATATGAAATCATCGCAATCTCTTCCTTATTTCAATTTCACGGCTCGGGGGAACTCTGGCCCCGAGACATTCCGAGGCCGGTGCATCATTTCGACGTGACTGATGTTAGAAACGCAGCCCGCTGCACATGGAAATTGATTGATGGTTAAACATTTTCCGCGGAACTGTTACATGGCAACGAACCGCTCCCATGTGGACTGTAGATATTAGTACTAAGATAGCATTGTTATCCAGGTAGCAAACCGATAATCGATGCCCCGGTACGGTAACCTGTCACTTTTTTTATTAAAGTAGATCATCAGTACAGCGTGTCATTCAGTTGCCCGGCGAACATCAATGATAAAGACAATCCAGTTTATCTTGTGCTGCAGTGGAAAATATTGTTACCGTAGGCTGGCTTTCGCGACATTTATTTTCAGGTGAACGCAACAACAGTGCGTTTCACTAATTGTATATATACGCAATTGTAATTCTACGAGAGCCAGAAAATAAACGACAGATTTTTTACTGACGTTCGCAAACTTTTTAAGTCATACTATCCTTTATCGATTTTTGAGTATCTTCTTATTTCCGTGCTATTTCATGTTCTCTATTTTTCTCTCCTTCCTTCTCTCTCGTCCCAGAAAGGTTCTACAATTTTCTTCGTTTATTACTAGACCCAAAGCAAGCAATAAAGCTAATTAACTAATCAGAATATTCTTCAATGCCGCCAGCGGTAAGTAACAACGTCAGTGTTTTCTTGGCCATACCTGGCACTTTAAATAATACAGAAAATTTATTGCGAAAAATATTACCTCGGCCAGGGTTTGAACCTGGACCCCCCTACACTCTAGGCGGGCGTCTCACCAATTCGCCCACTGAGGCATGTAAAAATTAGAAACGCGTTTCTTTAATATTGAAAGATTGCGTGTTACGAGAGAGAATGAGAATTGAAACGAGGAAAAACCACGGGAAATCATTCTGCGACGATAAAACTCGAATGATCCTCAACATTCACCGCCGTCGACGTTATCAATCTGGCCGCGGTGAATGATGATCGCAGCGGAGCGTTTTTACAGAAGCGTCGTGCCACTTTAATCTTCATAACACACGGCGCGGCGTGACCTCATACGACGGCCACTCCTATCCTCCCTAGCCCTCCAGCTTTCGCCCTCTTCCTTCCTCTTTTTCGTTCCCGTTCGGTGCCGAGCACGACAAATTGATTAGGCGTGCAATTTCGCGTGCCAAGCCGCCGTCGCCCCTCCCGGAAAGTTCTCCGCGAGGAATTTTGGGGCTCGCGAGGGACACGTCATGACCCGTAACACACGACCGCGTTGACTTTGACTTCTATTTTCGATACTCGTTTCCGTGTGAAATTTTTCTTTCCCCCCCCCTTTCCTCGGAGAAACTTGCGCGACGAGGCAGAAGTCGTCGCGTCGTAAATGGATATCTCCGACGGGAGATTTTAGGACGAACGTTTCTTTTCCGTGCTTTGCGCTTGTTACAAATTGCAATCTGAAAATTGATCTTAAGGGGATGCTGGAGTGATTCTGCACTTTT